GGAAAGTTCCCGGAAATTTGCCATGCATTTGCAACCCTAATGCTCACATAAAAACATTAATACTAAGAGTTTTAAACTACAGATTAGCATAATTAGCATTAAATAAATAAATACGCTTTGTTTTGACAGACAGAGACACAACCTAGAGTTATTATCTCTAAATAAAGGCAAAAACAAAAGCTAAATGTGACATTTTTGGGAGTTTGTGACATTTGTAACGTTTATTTAAAGCTGCAGTCTGTAACTTTTTTTGGTTACAAATGATCCGAAATCAATATTTGTGAGGATCCTGCAGGTGGAGGATCGTTTATAGCCTTTTCTCACAGCAGCTGGAATAATCACATTTATCATTTTGATGGCGGATTGTAATCCAGAAAGGATTATGTTTGTGAAACACATGTGAATGAAATTAAATTATATTAAAGTTATAAATGTGCTTCTGATTACAGATAGCTTGGAATTACACAAGATTTGTATTTTAATTAAAGAGAACCAGTTCGAAGGGAGCATAATTTGCGTTTTGGGTTAAAAGAATTTCTTAATATGAAATTCGAAGAGTATGACAATTAGACTGTGCAGAAACTGAAATCTACACGCTAATACTCACTATACTCATTGTCACCAATGCTGATGTTGTTAACATTAATCATAATAATAATAATAATAAGTTGAACGGTTTGATGTGATATGAGCTAACCAATCTTTAGATTTAATCACCATTGGTAGTGAGATTTATGGTAATGCTTTTTTCCTCAGTTGGTCAGAACAAACGTGGCAGACTTGCTACTTACTCGTTCAGATGGCAATATCCGGTGAAAATTCTTATTTGGGTCATATATTCCAAGACGTAGGCTAGAATCTGTGATTGTGAAGTACAGTAAATATCCACACCGGTGCGGTGACTGACTGCCACACATTCACTTGTGAGCCGTGCCGACTCACAACCCATGAGATGGCGACAAAGAGGCAAAACTTACGGACTGCAGCTTTAAATTCAAACCTGCTATAAAAGTGAGAATGTTCTGTAAAAGTTAATAAATGATCAACAAAAACACTAGGCTAATAATTTGCACTTTATACCCATCAAATATTAAAATGATGGTTTCCAAAATTCTGAATGGCTATAATTACTTATTTGATCCTCAGAAATTGAACAAAAAAAATCAATTTAGTTGGAGCATCCGTATTAGTATTGATCAATACTTGATTACTATGAACTGATTACTTGAATACTATTCAATGGGTATTTAATCTTTATGATTAATCACAAATAATCCTGATTAATGTCTTATAATAATAATAATAGGCCAAATGACCTTTCACAGGCAATGACTGGTAAAGAGGGTTTTTTCCAGCAGAGAGCGGAATCATAATGAAGCATATACTCATAATCCTCAAAGGATTACAGCAGTAATCTATAATAAGGCTCATCATAACACAGAGGAAGAATTTACAATTATTGGACGTGTTCCAGGAAATGAGATGGCTTTAAAACTAATTGTTCAGGCTTACTGTAGTTAAACTGAGTCAGTTCGATAAGTAGCCCAAATTACGTGCAAACTTTTAAAATGATCCCTAATCATTCAAAACGATATGGAACGCTGTCTGACTTTGTAGAAAGTCGATTTAAAAGTGACAGTTTTAGCCTTCACTGGCAGTAACTTCATGTCTTTCCACTCCAAACACAATCCGTTCACTAGCGCTCTCTCCCTGCTACTGACAACCGGCTTAGATGCACATTTTCCCAGCTCTACTAACTGGAACAAACCTTTTTTTAAATCAAATGAACTCACATTTCCATTCTGCAGAATTACATCAAATAAATAAATAAAAATATAATAGGGCACATAATTAACTCTCATAACACATTCAGGTAACCCAGAAGAGATTTCCGGAATTTTTTGGAAACCTTTAGAAAATTTTGTGGAAATCTAACAAAAATCTTCCACCCCTTTGCAAAACTAGTTGAGACCCTCAATGTACACTTTTTTTGTTGCCAAAGATAATAAAGACACTAGTGTAAAAAGTAAATATATAGCCATGTACACACTGACGTGCGGATAAATTCAGTAATTCATGTGAGTGATAAAACGCATTCTAGAACAGAATTAACTCTGTTAGGGTCTGGTCTCTCTTTTGTATGTGCGTTGCAAGAAAGTGACAGGGAAAGAGGTACAAATCTTTTGATTAATTTGCACATTTTAAGACACAGGTCTGTCACTCTTCACAGTTGGGAAAATAGCAAAGTATTATTTAGTTAAGAATTTATTTATAAACTATGGATGTAATGAATCTTTGATCGGTAAACATATATATTTTATATGTTTATGATATAAAACCAAGATGTTTTTGGAGCTTGGTTATATAAATGCTTTTTTTTTGTACTGAGGAGGATGTTTTAATGGTACAGAGACCTCTTACATATCAAACAACCAGGGAAAATATTATTTCTCATGACCCTTTGAGATTACTCTTTACTGTAGTAAAATGCTGTGGTCTTAATTGCACCATTCTGTCTACTGGAGTACTCAACAGATAAATCAAACCCAAACTCAGCTGAGGTTAATGGTGTTGAAAAGTTTGTTAAAAAAAAATAAAAAATTACTGTTTTTTCAAGCGTCTCATATTTCCAGAAGGAACTCACAGAAATATGCGTCTCGCTGCTAGAAGATGAATGCCAGATGAAAACAAACATTGATGTACAAAGAGCTGAGTGCAGATCCAAACCTCCCAATTCCCAAAGTTATAAAAGATAAACCAAAATCAAAACATAAAAATTGACTAAGTGTCAGCTGATCAAAGCGGCACATTGTAGAAAAAGAAAAATTCTTCTAAACTCATCTTGGAAGGAAAAAAAATCCTCCAATTGCCAAAAGAAGTAATAGTAGTTAGTACTAGTAGTCAGTTCACTAAAAGACCTGCGACATGCAAGGCACTTCTGGAGAATCAACGTGAATGAATATACTAGAACATTCATTAAAATACAATGCAGATCATATAAGCAAACATACATGTTGTTTTGAGAAACATTCTTTCTGGCCAGCTTTAGTGGCTGGAGATACGGCTTTTTTCAAGGATGAATGAGAGTGAGGCAAAGTCATGTATAAGATGGATAAATCATATCTCTGGTGTGCTTGAGGACATCTTTCCCATGGAAATGCAGTGATAATTAATGAGCTGTGTCACATATACATGATTCAGACATGAGCTAGCAAGCGCTAAAACAAAACAAAAGACAAATGCAGCATGAAACAGTTTCACACCAAATCAGACTCATCCAGACAATGGGACTATGAGAAATGTCACTCCACTGGACAATGTGCACAATACATGCAACACATGAGTTTGCAACTCCCAGAGTTTGACAAATCAGCAAATCCAGTGAATTATCGCAACTGCAGGTCTAACATCTTCACAAATTGCATGCTGCGGTTTTCATATTTTGGCTTTGCCAGGTTTATTCATAATATAGTAGAGCAAAATAGAGTAAGAACAGGAAAATAAAATAAAATAAAAAATATAATATAATATAAAAAATAAAATAAAATAAAATAAAATAAAAAATATAATATAATGTAAAAAATAAAAAAAATAAAATAAAATAAAATAAAATAAAAAATATAATATAATATTAAAAAAAAAAAATAATAAAATAAAATAAAATAAAAAATATAATATAATATAAAAAAAATAAAAAAAAATAAAAAAAAATAAAAAAAAATAAAATAAATAAAAAAATAAAATAAAATAAAATAAAATAAAATAAAAAAATAAAATAAAATAAAATAAAGTTGGCTGCATCTCAATATGCATAATATGTATATGTCCAAATTCACAGTATTCATAAACAGTAAGCTGACCTACTAATTCCCAGATGATACTGAAGAGCGCATCCAAAAGGACACTTTACTATCCTGTGAGGCCATAGGAGAGGATTTATGAATGACAGCAAAGTGACGCAACTGACTGGCAGATCACATGACAATAACAACATGAGGAATGTAGTTCAGCCGGATTACATTCATACTACATAACAGTCGTGAAGCAATGACTTATTCAAAAGAAGCACCTACTCAGAGAGTATGCAAATGTTTTGATGTGATTTGAGTGATTTTGATTGTTTTTATTCAATTATTTAGAGCAAAAACACACCTTTCTTTACAAAAGTACTTGACAATTTCTTTTCATCACACTAAAAACTTTTTTTTCTTTTTTTTATTAAAGCTAGCTACTGAGGTAATAATAACTGTTCTTACCCCTCATGGAAAACACATTTTTGTTACATTAATTGTCTGTCTTTTATGACTTGACATTAAATATGACTTGACCTACACTGCAAAATGAATAATTTACATCATGTTCAAACCTCGTTGTTATAATGAAAGGATCCACGACAGTTCAGATCTCTGGCGTTTTGTAAGAAAATATTGCTGCTGCAAATATAATACATGCAATAACCCCCATATAGCATACATGAATCAGATCTATACAGGTGGAGCTGGGGAAGGTGGAGGGTTTCTGAAGCAAGCTGCAACTGCTACGGCAAGCACTAGTCATATATTTGAATGTTGAGCAGCGAGCTCATTGGCTACTGATACAGGAGAGAACCAATCAGCTGTGCCATGTGATAATGATGTCATTAGGTCAGATTGAGTTAAACCTATCGGACTGCGCCATCTAGAGTTTCATGCCAGAACTCTGTATTTGTATGACATCTCTAAAAATGTCACTTTATCATTCCAGCAGGCTGTAGCGTCTATAGAGATGGTCTTACCTTCTGAAGATTGTATGAAAATCACAGTTAACACAAGTCCATGCACCAGGGGACATTTCCACAGTGAAGTAGCCATTTTGGTTATTCAAGAGCGTCTCCAGATGCCAGAAAATAGTTTAGATTGTAAAGAGGATCTAGACAGTATGCAGGCCACGCAGACATGACATCTCTAAAAATGTCACTTTATCATTCCAGCAGGCTGTAGCGTCTATAGAGATGGTCTTACCTTCTGAAGATTGTACGAAAATCACAGTTAACACAAGTCCATGCACCAGGGGACATTTCCACAGTGAAGTAGCCATTTTGGTTATTCAAGAGCGTCTCCAGATGCCAGAAAATAGTTTAGATTGTAAAGAGGATCTAGACAGTATGCAGGCCACGCAGACATCAGCAATATGCTGCTCTCCACCCTTCACCATTCATGCTCCATCTGAAAGCACATTAAAGACAAAATAATTAGCAGTGTGAATTGGTATCACCAAAATAGAAAACATATCACATGAACATCAAGATGTAAAAGCTCAAAACACTCCACGTCTGTGATCGGATTGATGTGTTGGTAAAGGGATTGATGGCTCAATTGGACTGAAAAGACCACAATCAATCCGATTGGAGGAGACGTAGATCTGAAATAATCCAATCAAAAGGAAAAAATAAGCATGCAAATGTTTAAATCTGGCTATTTTCTCAATTCGATTCAAAAATACGCTACAAAGATGAAATATCTCATTCTGAAATCACATGTGTCATTCTGTGTGAACTCAACCAGAGGTCCCCGGCTCAAATTTTAGATTTTGTCAATATTTTCTAAAGAAAGATAAACATGTATAGTGATGAAAGCCAAAATATTAAATGTCATGGATGCATATTTACTGAGCAATACACTATTTTGAAGAGGGGGGTCAAAATGGCAATTTGAAGCCAAATTACAAGGGGGTAAAAATTACTTCAGAAAGATGGCAGCATCACAATGTTATTTCTACAGAGAGATTGGTAGGTCTGTTAGGAAAATCTGTTGACTTTAGCAATCTTTGTTGCATTATGTGCCAATGGTGACAGTTCAAAAATGGGAAAAAGCACTTTTCAAGTTTTTTTTCTCCAAAGTTTGGATGCCTGTAACTCAAGTAGTATTAAAGATATCTTAATGCCCTTTTAGATGTTGCGTCTTAACAAACGTGTCTTTTGGCATCTTCATTTTTAAGGACCTATATTGTTCAGTTCCAGAGATACTGGAATTTCAATATGGCCCCAGGAGTAAATTGTTAAATTGTACACATTTTCAGTGGTCAAAAACCAAATGTTGGTCACTTTGCACACAGATGATCCTTATTTCTTTTATAAAGGAATGCACGAAGAACAAATGTGGAAATCAGAAATGCATCTTGTTTTCTTCAATCAAAACAATTGCATGGGACATACCTGTCCGTGTGCCATAAATATTGCGTGCATGTAACTCAAGAAGAATTAGACTCTGGTTGCTAATAAACTTTTCTTTTGGAATCATCATTTTCAAGGCCATATTTCATTCAGTCACAGAGATACGGGGATTTCAATGCAGCTCCATATTCAGATTATTGAAAAAAAAACAAAATGTTGGTCACTGCATACAGCTGATGATTATTATATTTAAAGGGGAATATCTGAAAAATCAACTGCATATAATTTGAAGGTCTAGATAGTCCCTTTCTTTACACATTTACTATTTGGTAACAGTTTATCTAGATAGTTCACTTCAGACATTCTACTAGCTAGAAGTAATTTTGTAAGTACTTGTCAACGTATTCTACTTACACTAACCATAACCTAACAGTCTACTAATACTCTAATGAGAGTTAGTTGACAAAGTTACTTCCATAGTAGGGCTGCACGATTATGGAAAAAAAAAATCATAATTGTCGATTATTCCCTTGACATTGTAATTGCGATTATTAATTACGATTATCACAATTTACATTGAATGATGTTTATACCATTGTTTGGTGCAACTGCATGCTGTATTTTTATATGAAATTAAACAAGCTGAAAACACTAACTGAAAAACCTTTAGTGCTTTTCTATAGTATTAAGCCTCAAATGTCAAATATACATCGGATTGGTTTCTTCTTTAAATTATAAAAAAGTTCAAATATGAATGGTATTATAATGTTATACTAAAACTAAAACAATGGAAACACCCTTAAGATAACATGTAGAAAGAAACAAACATATCTTAAGCGTGCAGAATAACATAAGTGGACTTTGAACGATTATTTGCCGCTTTGAACGATTACGTAATTGTGGCATCCATAATTGTAATCGCGATTAGAAATTCGATTAAGCAGCCCTACTTAGTGTGAAAGGCCCAATTTGATGATAGGCCAAATTTGACAAATTATTGCATCCAACCAATGAAAATAATTAACACACTGGTTGGAAAAAAACCTATTCCATAGTGAAGGAATCAGCCAGTGTAATTATGCTTTCCAAGTCGATCACGCAACCTGCTGCAGAGACGAGAGGGCACGAAGCTAATCATAACCACCAAATGTATCTGAGCCATTTGAATTCTACCCAGAATATTCTGTTTTAAACTGCATTGGAGGAGATCAAGCATCTCGACCAGTTAAACAGCCTCTGCATTATAAACAGCACTGACAAGAAGAGCTAACACTGATGCCCAAACAACTCGCTTATCAAACTACACATCATAACCATTACTAAAAATGAGCACCGTTTAGATGTAGTAAGAGTTTTATTTCAAATCTAAAGAGAGAATCCATTAGACTCATTTTGATCAGGACTGTGGCTATCACAAGCTATCGAATGCAGCTTTGCCAGGCTGTAAATGTAAATGAAATGCTGCTATTTTAAAAAAGGGACAAGCTCTTCGATGTCCCACCCTGACTTCGTGTTTCAATCAGAATTACATTAACACATCAAGGAAAACCGCGTGACAATGAGTGAGCATTAAATGACTGCAAAGATAAATCTACTTGTAAAAACTGAGGATATGAGTAGGGTTGCAAAAAGGTGGTCCAGTTTCCAGTAAATTTCGGAAACATTCCTGAAATTTTGGAAACTTTACTTTTTTTTTTAATATTCCAGGGATTTTTGGAAAGTTTCCGGAAATGTTCCACCCCTTTGCAACACTAGATATGAGCAAAATTAAACATCCAACATCAGTGATACAGAAAAACATCATTACCAGCCAAAAAACGATATGGTTTACAGAAATAAATCTTGTCAAGCTTGTCAAATCACCTTGTCAACCGATACAACAGAGGCAAACAAACCAAAGAATAATGGAACACAAACTTGTTTTACTTTACTCAAGATGAAAGCACCCATCTCATATCAAACCATCTCATACCAAAATGTTTCTGAACTTCACTGAGTGTGAGAAAGGCTGGGAGAGTGTAAATCAATCTCAATTACAAGCCAGATTTTTTTTTTTTTTACACAAAGTGCTGCTTGCCTGTGCAAAACTCACAGCCAAAACACTAGACTGTTATGACTCAGAAGAAGAGGCTGTTTTACAGAAACACCCTAATGCAGAATCATATCTTATCCGTTTTGTATCCAATGCCATTTCAGTTAGGATCTATCTAAATTTGGAATATACCATTTTAAAATGGTATTAAAAGAAGCATTTTGTGCACACAAAGGCTAAATGTCTTGAAAAATACAATATTAACTAATATTGTGAAACACCATTTTATCAATTTAAAATACATCTTTTCTATTGAAATATATTGTAAAATGCAATTTATTCCTGTGATCAAAGCTGAATTTTCAGCATCATTACTCCAGTCTTCAGTGTCACATGATCTTCAGAAATCATTCTAATATGCTGATTTATTATCAGTGATGGAAACAGTTGTGCTGCCGAATAGTTTTGTGAAAAGTGTGATACACTACCATTTAAAGGTTTGTGGTGAGAAATATTAACTTTTATTGAAACAAGGATGCATTCAATTGAAATAAAGTGTCAGTAAAGATATTTCTAATCTTACAAAAGATTTCCATTTCAAATAAATGCTGTTCCTTTGAACTTTCAATTCACCAAAGTATCCTGAAAAAAAAAATGAAGAGTGTGGTTCAAAAACACGATAAACGCCATTTTTTTCCCGCCAAAATCAGTATTGTGTCTGGTCGGTATTGAAAAGTAAATTCTTAATTTTACGCAAAATGCGATATCCGCCGAGTTATTCTGTCATGTCCTTTTTTTCCAAAACGCGACAAATGCCAGTATATCCGCTCAACCAATCACAGCGCACCACTCCACGCACTCTAGACAGTAATGGCGGCGCTTTGAATACACCCGGCATCCTAGTTTTCCTCATCTATTTTGTACTTTGTGATCAACAAACAAACTTAGGGCTGCATGATAAATTGCATGTGATTGTCGTGCGCATCTCGCCAGTAAAGCCGGTTCTGTGATTAATAGTAAATCTCCATCACGTGCTTTCAGATGGAGTGGCATTTAATACACAGAGTCGTAGATCACTGCAATATCGCGTTCATAATCCCAGATGAGTCACATTCGATTATGAACGCGATATTGCGTTGCTTGTCAGCGTAAGTGTTTTTATTAATGCCATTAATGTTTTTGTTAATACAGCGTATAGCACTAGTCAACTAAATGAATGTAACATGGCAAAGATTAATGCACTTTTGGAAGTTGAGTGTAAGGGAAATGTCATTTTGGAATTTCTGTGGTTTAATGTTATATTGTTGTTCATGTATGTCCATGATGAAATTTTCTTTTATTGCTGTAATTAATTTGTAGCATTAACAAGATGACCCGTTGAATTCATTTTGGGAGCGATGACTGATTGAATGTATTTTTAGTCCAGTGCATGCATATAAGATTAGTATTGATGAAGTTCAGAGGCTGTCATATGTGGATCAACTTACTATGTTGTGTATTTTCATCAGTTTCAATATGTAAAATACGTTTTATATTGACTCAATGGATTTATTGCATTTTGAAAAAAAAAAAAAATGGGTCATGAATTTATTGCATTTTGGGGGGGAAAAAACAATACAGTTTTATAATAAATCTTTGAAAATCAAAATCTGGATTTGAATTGTTAATGTTATTATAACCTAAAGACGCCATGTGAAAGTTTGAAACAGAAAATAGTGGTTTACATCTTGCCACTTTCTTGGTAAAGAAAACAAATTTTTACTCAAATTAATCAAAATGGATTTATAGCGTTTTGGAACCAAACTCTTCAAATATATCACAGTTTTCACAAAAATATTAGGCAGCGAAAACTGTTTTGAACATTGATAATAATAAAAACCATTATTAATTGAGTATCAATAATTATTAGAATGATTTCTGAAGGATCTGGAGTAATGATTGCTTTAAATGAAAGGAATACATTTTATTATGTTATTTTAAATTGTAACAATATTTCACTATATCACTACTTTTACTGTATT